CTCCCCCCCCCCCCACCCCCCGCCCCCCCCGTGCTTATAACTGTCTATGTAAGTGAAAGCACCAGAAAATAAATTTAGTCACACACAGCTGCCATCCGTACGCAAGGAAGTAAGGCACAAGATGCCGAACACCCTTAGCAGCATGCAGCGCACCCTTCATGCGGTTTGCCGAATACCTCACGACGCTTCGCGATTGGTGATGTAAGAGCCTGGTCCGGTGAGAACCCAGCGTGCTCCGTCCCGGCTTTGTAGGGATGCGAGGTCAATGGTCAAACGACTACGGCATGCACGACTACGAGTACCCACCGCACCCCACCACCACTCCGTCAAAATTCCCACACAAATCCGACCGTGTCATTCACTTCCCGAACAGACTGTAACTCGTATTACAGACTTCTCAACTCACGCCAAGGCAAACAAGGGAACGTTCTCTGAACATTCTTGAAACTAGACGTCTCCATTCTTCAGGCCCCCAAAACACGGTTTGGACGCTGTAAGTCGCCCCGGGTGGTGGAAGGCACGGGACCCCTTCCTTCCGTCACCACGACCCGCTGTGAACTTGTTCCACCAGGCTCGCCAACCGCCATTCACAGCCTTTGTAGTTCGTCGATTTTCTCAAGTTCCTCAAGTTCCTGGGACGGCGAGAATTCCCCACTATTATCGCGTTCCCCAAGAACTGCCTCAGAGAGGTGTCAAGCTTGCTGGCCAAGGGCACGGCGCGTTCCACCATCATGAGAAACGCGCGCTCGAACTGCGCTGTTCTCTTACCGTCTGCGTTCGCCGTCGTCCACTTGTCTGATCATATTACTCTACTCACTCTTGGTTGTGTGGGGAAAACTGCACCGGCATCGAAAGTTGCGGGGCAGCGGCCCGGGTGTCAAGTTTGATCGCGGGTGGGTCTCTTATCGATGCATCTTCGAAATAGAGCGAGGGCAACAGGACACTGCTTTGACGAAGCAAACATACCCGCCTACAGGATATCGGCGTCGAAATCATCCTCACAGGCCACAGGGCTTGTGTGCAGATTGCGCGCGAGGGGAACAGGAAAACTCTACTCGCTCTCTGTGAAAAAAATAGTGAGTCGCGCGTGCAATAACTATTCTTGTGCCGACAGAGAGGTTGAAGCCACTGTCGAAGGCTGGCTATGGCGTAGCGGCGGCTGCCTCGGCGAGGGATGAATACTATGAAGCGCCTAGACTTTGCGGTCTAGGCGTGGAGGGCGCGGTGGTCCAATGTTGGAACCGTTGGTAGGGAGAGTGTTCCCAATGGTAGGGCCCCGCGTCCCAGGCAAGCCACGCGTCTTTATATGCGGCCCTGAGAAACTGAAAGAAATTGAAAGCCTGAAATGCATGCTGAACTGAGCTAATATCGTGACCTAAGCTAACCTGAGCTAACCTGAGCTATGTAACTGACGAAGAGCTAACGGAGCGCTAGCGTGAGTGCGTGCAGCCCTCGTGAGGAGTAATTCGGAGCATATCTGACTAAATCTTTGCTGGTTGTCTGGAACAGGCAAGGTCAAGCGAATGTAGATCCAGTTTGCATGTAGATGAAGCACTGCACTATTATGGCTTGTTTTTTTGGAGCACTTCCAAGGGTGTGCGGGAAAAGTTGTCCCGCACACCTAGGTATCCCGGGAGGGACAAATTTTATATTTTATTTTGCCTTAATCTTTTCTCTTGTTTTTGTTGCCCGTATCCTCAACATTGGTACGCATAGTGTTGTACACATTAAAAACCTGTTTGACTGCTTGCTGTACTGACACTACAACTGAAAGAAACGCGTTGGTGGAGAAACTGTACACGAGAAAGTTCCACATCATCCACACCCTATCCTCGAATCCAAGTTCATCGAACTCAACGCCCGGAAAAGCATCACGCCTCTGCGCGGGTGAACAAAGAACCAAAATGATCGACGAACACCGCGGAACATGGTAGGAGTTTCCAACTACGCACATCAGTGTTCCGCCGAACAGCCATTATCGCACTTAGAACTACCCTAACTCCGAATACCGCCATTTCGGAGTAAGTCTACGCGCCCGGGAGCTTACATCTGGCTCTTTTTCCTTTTCCTCCTGCTTTTCCTGCTCCTCCTCCTCCTCCTCTTCCTTACCCTCCCCCTCCTCTTCCTCCTCCTCATCCTCCCCTTCCTCACTCTCTTCCTCCTCCCCCCCCTGCCCCCCTCCCTCTTCGCTCGACTCCGAGTCTACTGTTACTGCCTGTGCGGGCCGAGAAAGTTTTTGAGTAGTCTTGCGCCGTGCACCAGCGACGGACATCCTGGCTCCCGGACCCTCCTTCAGCTTTGCCATCACGTTGGATTTCTCTTGCTCGCTTACGTCGTAGCTGGCTTTAAATTTCACAGTATCGGGATACTTCCTTCTCTCTCATGGGCAATACCTCGCCGTGCTGCGCCTGTACGTGGTCGGGCATCGAGTACTTTCACACCCAACACTCGGGAAGGCAAAAAATGCACTTCAGCGGCACGTTGGTGCATGGTGTGGCGATGGAGCTTTTACCCGCCGTCTTCAGGCCTATTCCAACGGCAGAAATTCGTGAGCACGTGTTAGGCGCGAGATGCAGATTGAACGAATCTGCGGTGCACGTTTGCGGGGAGGCACAACCCACGTCCTGCGGCGCTGATCATGTTCTCCCTCTTGCCTAGCTGGTACGCAACACACAGCATGCATGCCACGAGCGGCCTGTGCTGGCGCGCTGGCGCTTGGCGCACATGGCTATTTAGGGGGAACGCAGATGCACTGTGGTCTCCCTATAGAGCACACGGTGCCCCTTCTATATTGGATGTTGAGTAGCTTTGTGCGTCGGTGCCTTGGCGCGCGGAGTCCCTTGGTTGGGAAATAAAAGAGCCAGCGGCGCGGTAGCCGCCAACGGTACAGTGTAGGAACTATGATGGGCGTGACAGCCTTCTGCTTTGGGATGGAGCGTGATAGCTCGGGTATGGTATCTCTGGACGTGGCGTGGAAGCCTGGTGGCGTGATAGCCGTGGTGTAAAGGTACAAGTAAGGACGTGGAAGTCCGGAAGGCGTGGTAGCCGGGTGGCGTGATAGCCAGGATTGGCGTGAAAGCCGTGGCGTGATAGCCATGGTAGCGTGATAGCCGGGGAAAAAGGAATTGATTGCACACAGGAAGGAGGAAAAAGAGGAAAAAAAAATAAGTGACGAGCCACAACACACAATCACCATATCCGTTGTAGACACACACATACCCCCACCCTCAATCCTGTAATATGCGGCAAAGTTGGTACCACCAAATCTAATCCAAAGCAACTGCTGAACCCCCAAACTCCCCGTTCCATCTGCTCGGAAATTCCTCGCTTGCAATAATCTGTCGATGCTGTGAGTACGTCTAACATGGGAATAAGTATGGAATGGTTTCATATAGAATTTGGTATGGCGTTCTGGGGGGGGATGGTCACTTCGTACCCTCCCCCCCCAAAAAAATCCTCGAAAAGTACCTCGGGGTGCATAAAAAATTCGCACACCCTCGGCACTACTTACTGTATGTGCTGTTCCTGCAAACGCAAACGACGAGTGGGTGCAAAAACTGTTCATGAGATGGGCCTATTTGATAAATCTACTACTGTAGACCACCCCAGTCAGATTGCCGACCTCCGCAGCATATGCAACAGCCCACTTGTTGTGGATCTTTGGCCTGTAGACTGGTCGTAGCTGTCTACACACAGCACCAGTATCATCACAGGGTCACACCACACGCGATGAGTTGAGAGGAGCAGCAAGTACGGCCAGCGGTGTCTCTAGAGTACACCGTACAGCTCCATAGCAAGTGCCCAAGCCACATCGGAGAAGTGTAAGTAGACGCTAGATCCGAATGCCAGGTAAAGTAGGCCTCCCTTGCTGTGAGCAGTAGACAGAACACATGTTGTACGTACATAAAAAATACCTGCATATCCGTCCCATCTTTTTTTGTTTCATCAGTATGACCCAACGAATCCATCTCTATCGAAGAAAAGGGTCTAAGATAGATTAGCTATGAACCCATAGCATCCGCGAAAGTTCTGCTTTTCCACGATATCCCGAGCAAGACACAGCAGCAGCACTTATACTACTGCTGTACCTCCCCCGTGGGTAACATCTTTCGACGGCAAAACTTTTCGACTCGAAAATAATGCAGCACCAAACGGCACGCGTACACTCACCTCAGGCTTACGTCAACCAGCTTGCCCCAATCAACCTTCCTATCCCGCTGAGGTACAGCGAACAGTGCTGCATCGTGTGGTGTTGTTCATCTGCATATGCCCAGCTCTGCATACGTCGGGTCGAGAGTCGAGAGTCGAGTCGTCGAGTCGCCGCTTTTCACGCGTACCAGCAGTACCAGACTGTCGGCCTACCAGACTGTACAACTGGGCCAATCAGAACGACGCTCTGTTGCCTGTGTCCAGTGCCCCAGGACAGGGAGCCCAGGAGCCCAGGAGTTCAGCAAAAACGGCTCTGTGCACACACACACACACATGTCGGATTACCAGCGTAGTTCTACCCCTTACAAGCCAAGCGAACCCCCAGTCCCGTCGAAAACAGACACCTTCAAACGAGACGGGCGTCGCACATGCTCCGAGAATTCCGAAACTTGTTACCTGCGGACCAAGCTAGTCTAGAGGTGATGTTGCCCCTTGCTCTCGCTCCCCTCTGTCTGGCCGTATCTGCGTTCCACGCGACTGGTTCCGAATTTCAATTTTGGTCTTCAGAAGATGAATGGAGTATATTGTCACGCTGTTTGTACATGTAGATTATAGACGACGGCAGTGTCCGGCATCAACCATGTTTTGAGTTCTGACTATACCCGACCACCGCCTCGGTCCTCTCGCGGCTCTACCGAATTTCAATCGTCCGAAGATGAATAGAGTAGAGTATGTTGTCACGCCGTTTACATGTAGATTGTAGACGACCGCAGCGTCCAGCATCAACCATGTTATGAGTTCTGACTAAACCCGACTACCGCCTCGGTCCTCTCGCGTCTCTACAGCAGCATCATTGCATCATTACCATCCTTCAAGAGACAGAGCGGAAGGAAGTTTAAACGTGGTGAGCGTTCCAATGCCCGCTCTCCTCTACTTCAAGTTTTCATCGTACGTACGTTGTCCCGTTGCTGTGGTACCGTTGAACAGATGTAGACTATGTTAGGTTCCCGGGTTCCCGTGCCTTTGGGTTCGGGTTGAACCGATTTTTGGGCACCATCTCGTTGGTCTACATACTTTTCTATGCATAGCTGACCTCAAGTAGAGTTTTGCCCAACTGGTCTCAGGTCTCAGGTGACGTGAAATTGGCAGAACCGGTTACTCCTCGTAACCGGCAAGGTCTTTCGCTACAGACGAAGAACTTATGGCTGTAAACTATTGCGGCCAACTATCGACTCTGATGTCTCGCGCCTGTACTTTCGCACACCCTCTGCATGCACTGAGGATTATTTCCACAGGCACCCGACCTGCAATTGAGCAGAATTCGTGCTTTACCCCGGTGTGGACACAAGTGCGTCGGCGGCGGCGTCTGGGCATCTTCAGAAGAATTGATAGCAGAGCATCGAGGAAACGGGGGACACTACTGCTGTATCATGTCTGATTGGATCTCAATTTCAAAGGTGCGAGCGATGCAGGCTCCTGATGGTTATTATCCCTTGAGCGTGTTTGGTTTCCACATAATTCTCTGGGCTATTTATTGCACGATACCGCGGTTGTACCCAAGCCGCAGGGTGGCAAGAGGCAAGACGGTGTTGGACTTGCATATGGGTATGTGGCAGAAACGTACGAAGAACGTTGATGGGAGCACGCAGCGCAGAAGCAACGTTATTTTGGCGACCGAAGGCAAGAGCGGCGGATCGCCGGGTTGACCGCCGTTGCATGAAGCCTGTTTCGAGTTCCGATCCGTGTTGACACACGTGAAAAATCATACCTACACGTAGCTCTTAGCTGCCTTGGACGACCCGCGCTTGAGCGGAGGATAAAGCTTGATTCGGCGAGCACAGCAATGGCAAACATTTTGGTTTGGCTCCAGATTTACCAAGATAATCGACCCAGTGTCCCCAGCAGTAGATCCGAGCTTACCAGCATGCATATCGCTGCTACATGATGTCGTCTACTACCGGAGTTGTGTGTTGCTGCGAGTACGCTTTAAATTTAGTTCCGTAGTTTCTTTTGCAATCGGCCGGTTGTACGTTGCGGGATTGTGCCTTTAGCATTGCCTGGTTGAAGTACAACTTACCAAACATGTTTATGGATTCCTATGCGTGCACCGCGGTGCAACACATAAAAGGAATGTGGAGCCCAAAACCTTCCCGTATTGAAAGTACCACCTGAAAGATGCCGCTGCACCGAAATTGTGGCTTCGGAGTCACTTGTGGTAGCCCCAAACCTCCCCGTATTGAAAGTATCACCTGAAAAATGCCGCTGCACCGAAGTTGTGGCTTCGGAGTCACTTGCGGTAGCCCCAAACCTCCCCCGTATTGAAAGTATCACCTGAAAAATGCCGCTGCACCGAAATTGTGGCTTCGGAGTCACTTGTGGTAGCCCCAAACCTCCCCGTATTGAAAGTATCACCTGAAAAATGCCGCTGCACCGAAGTTGTGGCTTCGGAGTCACTTGCGGTAGCCCCAAACCTCCCCCGTATTGAAAGTATCACCTGAAAAATGCCGCTGCACCGAAATTGTGGCTTCGGAGTCACTTGGGGTAGCCCCAATTCTCCCCGTATTGAAAGTACCACCTGAAAGATGCCGCTGAACCGAAGTTGTGGCTTCGGAGTCACTTGTGGTAGCCCCAAACCTCCCCCGTATTGAAAGTATCACCTGAAAGATGCCGCTGCACCGAAGTTGTGGCTTCGGAGTCACTTGTGGTAGCGCGCCATCTTATGCCCGACGCGGGGGTTCAACTAGGTCCAGACATCGGATAAATCGAGTTCAAGCACGCCGTTCTTGCTTTCTTGCGCACCTCGTTGCGATGACTCCGATGGTACAGACAAAGGCCGACAGAGGTGAGCACGTCAACAAACTAATTACTCACCAGGGAATCACATCGAGTTTAATAGTCCGTGGCACACGCCATAACCTAGCCCGCATTCGGCACCGTCATTGGTCACCACTCGCTGCAAGGGAACCCAAGTTGCAACGTACCAATATCAGTTTTCGTAACGCCTTACAGGCTTGAGTGTGCTTTCCTGCGTAGCCTACATCGCAGACTTGCTGGTCCCAGAAAGTCGCTATGCTGTTCAGTATTGCACCTATCCGTATGATCGCACCGGGGTGCCTGTATACAACAGCATATTGTAGGATGAGCAAAGCCAGCCTAGCGGGGTTTTTTCTCTTTCGCACCTGGAGTGATCTGAAAAGCTTGTCAAAATGGTGAGGTTTTTCCGCGTCAAGATCGTGCGTTTCACACCCATCGGGGATATCGCACCGGCGTGTGACAATACGTGAAAACCCATATATTGCCCCGGTGCCTTGGCCCGCACGATTACGGTAATTTTTCACTCAAGAATTTTCTTGAGCACCCTCCGTGTGGGCTGTGTTCTCTTGCATGTTTAGGCTAGTATGTACAACTTTTTGCCGTGATAAGGAAGGGTGTGGACGTAGTTTTCATGAAGCTGGTGGAAACCAAGCCCAACCGCTCATCTGTGCGACAGCCGACGGGACGATTGTTGCTTAACGCGTTCGACCTCGCCTGTTGCACCTCGTGTGTGATTGCTGGGAGGTAATGTGCATTGTTTTCAAAACCAATCAAGAACCGAGATCGGCTGTATCACCCGCTCAGTGTCTCGCCACCTAGATAAATTCGGTGTCAAGGGCCAACCACTACGCTTTTACGTGTCTGTGCTGTTCTAGGTGCTTGTTTCGCGCTGGTTCCGGCAGCTTAGACGGCAGGAAGTGTGTACCGCATATGGCGTTTTGTGCTTGGAGCAAAGTGTTACCGAGACTACACGTCGTAGGATTTAAGTAAAGAAACGACGAATAGGTCGTACCTTGTTAGTGTCGCGATACTGTAGTCGGCATGCTGGAGACGATGAAGCAGACTTGCGACTGACTCAGGTCATTTCACCACTGTGCTCAAAAGCTTCATGGACACTGCGGACATGATCCAGAAAGCGAAGTCGGCACCAAAAACAATCCTTTCCCTTGAACGTACTTCTCCGAATTCAGATTCGGTTGCAGAATATACCGGTGCCAGTGGAGGGACGCCCAGATTTCTTCAGGGTAGTGTTCTTCGATGGAACAATGGAGGTCAGGACGAAATCAAAACGAGCGAACCTTGACGGTTTGGTCCAGTGGACAGAGCGGCTAGAGGTTCTGGCGGATGACACCGCCATCAAGCTGGTGGCCACTGTCCAGCAGCGTAGTTTCCTCGGGGATTGGGTCGCAGGGCCCGACTTTCATTTCAGTGGCTCTTCGCTGCCCAGCAAATGGCGTCATACGTCCGAGCTCCCCTCCGCCCACAAGTTCTACGCCGAGCTGAGCGTCGATTGTCAAGAATACCTACCACCGTCCACAAGCTCGGACAAGTCCGAGGCCCATTTTCGTGGGCCCTCCAAGCTTCCCAGTCCTAGCGCTTTTAGTTTTTCAGGGCTTGGTAGTGTTCGCAAGGGGAGCGACAGCTCCTCCCCTTCCTCGGTGGCCGCAACGTCGAAGACCTTGTTGTCATCTGCGGTTGGGGGCGGCTTCTTCGGTGATGGCACGAGACGAGGGGCCTCTTTGGAGGGTTTCTCGGCATCCTCCGCTGTGTCGGCGTCATGGCCGTCACGTGCGACCCACGAGACCAGGCCGCGGTACAGCTACCCGCTACGACAGGAGGGAGGGCTGTGGGGGGTGGTAGGCTCAACAGGGATGGTGCTTCGTTCCCGTCCTTTGTTGGCGATGTCGCAGTCGTTTTCTTGGTCACCACCAGCTTCTCCGATCGCACGGCCAAAAGATGCTTCCGCTTTTCAGCAGCGGGTGGGCGCAAGCGAGGCTGCGGGAGAATCGTCCCCGCCATCGTCAAGCTGCTTCTCTTGGTCGCCCCTCGTCTCTCCGTTGGCATTGCCAGACGAAGCTCCTGAGAGAAAATGGGTAACGGCCGGTGCTGCGGCAACGGGGAGTGGCGCAACTTTAGCACCGATTCTGCCGGGACCGGCGAGGTCGGGGTCCTCCTCTCGGCGGCGTGTAGAGCCTCCCGTAGCTTTGGCAGATAATCTCACCGCAGTCCAGCAGTTCCGCGAGGCCGATGGGATTTCCCCAGGGAACAAGTTCGCGACTACGCTGGATATTGTGGATGGGCAACGCAAGTTGGTAAGAACCTGTGTTGTTGTGAAGGTTAAGATGAGCTCTCTCACAGCACGCACCGTGTTGTCGTGTTCCATCTATGAGTACAGTTATTTTCCATCACTTCATTTGCAGAAAAAGCTGTTTGGCAGAAGCACGTTCTTTGCACACACATGCGCGAAGTTGACGCCTGTTCCTCTCGATACAATCGATCCGCGGGCATGAGCGCAATGAGGTGGACCGTTATTGTCGAATGTCTCTCCGACGAAGATGGAAACATCCCTTAGGCGACTTCTTCAAGGGGAAGATGCCCCAAAGGAGAACCGCTTTGTGTCGATTGTTTTTTTTATGAATGTGTCACGCCCAACCGTAGAGTCGTGGTTGGCCCTTAACATCGAGTCAGCTCTAGATGTTTCCAACGCAGCAATGGGGCACCCTGGTTCAATCTATGATTCGTCTCAACTATCAAGGTTGCCGCATACTCCACGGTAGCTTACGAGGCACACGCGAAAGCGATGTGACCAACGACGAACGAGATATTCAGCTACCCTTGCACTGTCGCCGTATCACACGCAACGTCTTACACACGCGCGCAAGCGTGTCTCTAATAATCTCTTCTTCTGCCTCGAAAATGTTGACCGAACCGTGTTCAGTCGGCAACATTTTGTCCAAATCACAAACACAAATGGCCCTGTGATGCCCTCCTCCTGTGTCACCCAGCCTGATAGGGGAACACATACACCGAAAGGTGTGTAGACTGTGATGCCAGAGTAGATTGGACGAACACACACGCATATACAGATCGCAAAACTTAATTGCAGAACCTTCAGCAAGTATTCCAACGCCGGTGTGTTTCGAGTTTACGTTTACCGCCCGGTTGAACAAGTTGGGTATGCTGTCCCCACCACAGCCTTACAATTGCTGTAATCCCTCTGCGCTGAAATATGTATACCCTGCAAATATACACAATCGGATCACCATACGTTGCACTTGTGGCATCACTGTCTCGCTGTTTAGTTATGCCGACCACGTGTCCTATCGATGCCGACCAAGCCGGACGAGACGCAGTCGTTGTGTACTTTTGGTATGGGCGCCAGCCCGTTGGTCCTCGGGGCTCCGATGTTTCGTCGCTTCGTCTTTGTGCCGGTCACGTTCCAATTCACACAAGGACTCGATCGCCGCCCGAGGCCACTTGCTGTGTTTGACAGCCCAGTGAAACTCGTTTGTCTGGGTAGAACAGTTTCCTTTGAAAACACTTCAGACTCTTCGGCTGATTGAGCTGACGTTTGCAGTTTTTGGTGTCTCTCCTGTATTATTCTGGCGGCAGTTCGCCAGCAAGTGATCGTGCGACCTTTGGTCCGCGCAGGCCATGTACACAACAATAGAGTCCACCTAGATCGCGGGTTCCGTACACCATAAAAAGACTGCCGTTCGAGATCAGCCTCGTGTGTAGAAGTCTCTCCAGTAAACGTTGAGGGAACACCTGTTGTTGGATGCTGGAGTTAGTTGAATCTCTTTCACCCTGAGAAAACAGGGATGCCAGCGGGAATTCAGACTCGTCTTGATCTATGATTTTCATGATGTCCCGTGCAAGTCTCTACTGGGCCAGGAACAAAAATACAGGGGGAGAAACCCTCCGTTATGTCGTGTGTAACTCTACTTCTTTAATTCGGGAGACGTGTATAGCGCTGCGTCTGTCGTTGTTCTTCCAGAGAACCGCGACAACTTCCAGTCATTTTTTCTCAAATCACGTGGTATGCTTAACGATTTGGAGACGTTTGACCCCATGCTACTGACATCCTTGTGCTATCATAGGTAAGGAGTGTCATTTCTCGCGTTTCCTACTGCAGAGGGTGACTTGCTAATATTGCGCGACACCATAGTGACGAAGCATTGGTCCAGCCAAATACCAATGACCGCTTGCGGAGACAAGAGAGCAAATCTCGACGTAAGGGCGCCAACGGTGTGTCTAACGCGCATTGCGAGGTTGGAAGTTCAGGCCAAATGGTTATGTAAGGATGAAGGATACTAGGGGAAGGATGACACTCAGCTCCCTGTTTGGCGACGTTGTTGTCGAACTCCGGAGGCAGTCCTTGAAGCGTCTCGTGCTTGTTGCATAGGACCACCAGCGTCCTCCACCAGATCAACAATCAATCTTGCGCCTCGATAGCGCGTGCCGTGTCAGCTTCTTCCAGCATGTCGTGTGTACGCGGTTTAACATTTTCAATGTGGAACCCGACCAAGAGTGCACGGACATGGTGTTTCCAAACCAATCTGCCATGTAACTTCGTCATTTCTGTGCCATGGGAGTTCCCGCAATGACACTTCCCTCGTTTCTGGTATTGCGTTGTCCCTGGATAGCTGACCGCTCTCCCTCCACTCTTTCTATTGTACCGGTATTTTTTGGACAGGCGGGTCTTCAATCCGAAATGACGATGTTTCCGGAACCAAGTATCGACGCGATGCAGCACCACAGGAAGGAAGAGTTTCTCACGCAAAACCTCCATGACGTAGTGGCGGAGCTAGGGGCGGACCACGTCCAGGCTGCCGTGGCTCTAGACCAGCTGGCTCTGTGTGCTCGAGGGTTCGGACGGCTGGGGGAGGCCGAAAGCTTCTTCAGGCAAGCTCTCCGCATCAAGGAACAAAAGCTGTCGCACGGTGACCTCGAAGTCGTCTGGACATTAGAGGGGTTAGGCCGGTGCCTGCGAGAGCAAGGGCGAGCAAGAGAGGCGGAGCTTTGTCTAAGCCGGGTGGTCCAGGTCAAGCAGGCCAAGTTAGGGCCCCACGATAAGAGTGTCGCTGTCACCTTGCACGAGCTGGCCCGATGTGTGCGACAGACGGGGAGGGTGGAAGAGGCGGAGGGGCTTCTGAGGCAAGCCCTCTCGATCAAGGAAGCTCTGGCGCCCTATGATATGAGCGTCGCCGTGACGTTACACGAGTTAGGTCGCTGTACGCGAGCAGCAGGGCGACCGGAGGAGGCTCGAAAACTACTCGAGCGAGCGCTCCAGACGAAGAAAGCGAACGTGGGAGTCCACAATCTTGAGGTTGCCTGCACACTGCACGAGCTGGGCTTGTGTATGTTGCAGACGCGGCAGATCAACGACGCCGCCTTCTTGTTCGAACAGGCGCTCCAGATCAAGGAAGACAAGCTGGGGGATTGCCACCCACAGGTTGCCGTCACGCTTCATGAGCTGGGTAGATGTTGGCGGGTAGCGGGTCGATTGCCCGAGGCCCAAACGCTTCTCGAGCGAGCGCTTCAGATCAAGGAAGCTAGGCTGCCTCCACACCACCTGGAAATTTCCTGGACGCTGATTGAGTTGGGACGGTTTTTTCGAGAGGCGGGGCGATCAAGAGAGGCGGAAACACTCCTTCGGCGCGCGTTGCAGATCCAGGAGACGAACCTCGGGCACGAGCACATGAGCGTCAACTGGACGCTGCACGACCTAAGCTTATGCGCGAAAAATGCCGGGTCGTCCAGAAATATGGCTAGAAGATTGCGATAAGCAGGCCGACGAATCCCCTCGCACAGTCGAAGAGAAACACCTGTGGATCGACCAATCAGGCCCCGTCCCCGAGTAGGTCGGCGAGCTCGTCGTTCAAGAGCCTGGGGGTTGTTTTATGATTAGGTTTGATACTCCTCCAGCTTATATAGGAAGAGGAAGGACCCTTTTGTATGGTGTCTCTCGTGTAAATGGTATGAATTTTCTCACAGTAAGCTGAAAGAATTCTTCACACGAGGGCGTGGATCTCTCGTAAGCTAAGTTGGGCGGTTTTCGAGTGCAAAAGAAGCGTCGTTCCTGTTTTACCCCCCCAGGTCAACCCTTGGGTTGTGGGGTTGTGGCTTATCGAATGCAATACATGTGAGCACCCAATCTCTTGTCCTTCGAATGCACGACCAACCATAGTATTTCTGCTTACTTTTTGAAAACCTTCCGAACTAATCGCTGGTGGCTACGGGATGATCATGCCACCAGTGTAACGGCGACGCCCCGATGCGGAGAAACCGCCATGAAGCGTAAGAGCAGCCGGTGAGCTCCAACGTGGAGGGTGCTGATAGAGGCGCAGCACCAACGCAATCGGCGCGTCTACGCTGCCCCGCTGGAAAATGGGACTGGAGCAGTCGGCCAGACTGCGACCTGCCTCCATCCACAACAAAACCACGGGGTCATAGCGTCTCTCATTACCTCAAGTGACGATTCCCCAAACACAAATAATACTTTCGCGTGTGTACTTGTACGTGATATATCAGTTGCCGATTCTATTGTGAGTACCAATTATGGTATCCTCAACCTGAAGCGTCAGCGTGTGAGGTGGTAGGAATCAACCGCACAAAGGAGTCGAATCGTGAAGCCAGCTCAGTTGGGAGCCTGTGCATCATCCGTGTACGCCACCCGCCGTTCGAGAGTAGCATAGATACAAAACACCAGTTAAGACCTTGGTGGACAGATGGACCGATATGTCCTACAAAGGTGCATACCCTGTTGCTGCACCGGTGGGTGCAAGCAAGCCAGATGGGACGCATGCCGCAGGTCCCTCTCAACACAATACATCCCATGGTGTAGATAAGACAATAGAAACGACGGGGTACATCTAGTCAAGGAGGCAAGATGGCCCGGTCGACTCGAGGAGCTTATTTTACACGCTTCGAGATCGCGGGCAGTTAAAACAACTCATGCTGTCTGCGAGGAAAGTCGTCTTCCTGAGAACGCGTCGACAACACAAACACACGGAAATCACAGTCTGGACGTCGGCCCCCCTGCCTCTAAACCGGCATACAGGGCCGTGATAACCTTGGAGTACGCCTCCAGCGCCTGCGCCCTCTTGAGCTTGAACGTCGGCGTGAGTAGGCCGTTCTGAGCGCTAAAAGGATCAGGCTCCAAGTGAATAGCTCGGACCTTGGCAAGCGGTTCGTCGCCGGGTTTAGGGAGACATTTGGGGAGGATGGGGTGGATTTGTTGGAGTTAAGAGGGGTTACATGCAACACAACAGTGGGCGGGATGCGGTGTCGTGTGCAACGGGGCGAACACAAAAGCCAAACGTCAAGCCAACGTCCGGGAAAAACACTTGCAACGATTCGCGTGCGGCTGATGAAACTGAGTGGATCCGGCGGGAACACACCTGGATTCCCCACATTCAACACCAAAGTTTTCACTCATGACAACCACCAGTCATCTCTTCCGCGCTTGCGACTCTCCAGCCGCTTACCTTCTCGAACCGCTGCAGTCCGGCTCTCTCAGCAACGGTCTCCAGCTCCAGCATAACATCTGCTTTCAAGCGTGGGTTTCGGCAGAGCTCCACCATCGAGACGTTTCTGTCGGGGCACCAACGACGCAAAAAGAGGGATTCGGGTTATTCCGCAGGGCGTACAAACCTGAACAAGCAGCAGCCGATACTACAAAAAGCGGTAGGCTAATCTGTCCAGGCACCATCTGCGTCGAAAACAAGCCGACGCAGGCATGAGAAGCAAGGCAACCCGAACCCGCCACCTCCATCATCGTTGAGCGGTAAAGAGCGTGCGAGGGTAACAGCAAGAAGCGCGCGAAAACCCACCCGACAGCAACCAACAGGCCCAAATACGCCCCTCCCGCCCGAACAGAAACAGATCCAGTGCCAACCCTAGGCGCAGTGAACACAGCAACAGACCCCGAACAAAAACAGAAGGACGGCCGCGCTCACACGCATCCATTCGCGTCCGCCCAACCGGCAGCAGCATCTGGGTCCGGCACGATCACAGCGACGAGGAAGCTCCGTAGGCTGTCACCGTGCACATACGACTGGGCCACGAGGGGGCTCTGGGTGTGGATGTTCTCTACCTTCTCGGGAGCCACGTACTCCCCCTGTCGGCGACACAATTTTCCGGGGAGGGGGGGGGTGTATTCATAGTCGTGCGTGCCGTAGTCGTTGGACCATTGACCTCGCATCCCTACAAAGCCGGGACGGAGCACGCCGGGTTCTCACCGGACCAGGCTCTCACATCACCAAGCGCGAAGCGCCGTGAGTGGGGGGGCGGGTAAATTTGGGCGTATTTCACGTACGCAAGTATGCCTGAGTTGAGGAACGACGATAAACACGGTGACTTTTTCGATAAGTAGGGAGTTCCGGTGGGAAGAGGTGCTGAATTTCAACACCTCTTGTGCGCTTGCCGTCTACGTCGTGGCTTGCACCGCTGCCTTTCGAAACAAAGCACCAGTCACGACGGCGAAACACAAGCATGATGATGGCGCTAGCGAGGCAACAAACATGTCCACCCTAATAAAACAGAGATATGAATACAGGACCACGAGTGCCAACAAAGCTGGAGAAAAACCGCACTATTTCCAAGAGTTCTTGGCCAAACTCTCACCTGGGAAAGCTTGAAGATGTTCTTCTTGCGGTCTGCTCTCGCGGACCGTTGTGCCCGAACCCAGATGACACGTCGGGTCGCAGTGCACCCGGTCCAAAGCATTGAATGCCAACCGCACATATCGTCGTAGACGCCGGTGGGAAGAATATTCGACAATCACACGACAGCATGAACAAGCAGCTTAGTGACAACGACAGAAGTTTCAGGAGTGACATTTGGAAGAGAAGAGACCTTCTGCGGAGTGTTGATCCGCCAAAAAGCGTTCAGGGTCAATGCTTTAACAGCAACAGCACACGAGGAAAAACAACCGCGGCACACAAAAAAATCAGTAGTCGTGACCAAAACCCAGTCCACCAAACCACCGCCGCTGCCACAAAGCAAGGCTATGATACCAGCAAACAAACAACTTGTAGCGGCACGCGCACGCACCAATAATCTTCAGCGCCCCATCTAAATTCCACATGCCGATGTCTCCCGACAATAGCCAGCCGTTTTCGTCGAAAGCCTCTCGCGTCTTCTCATCGTCTTTGTAGTACCCCACAAACACATTGCACCCACGGAAGCAAATCTGCACATGGGTAGGGAGTAGCGGGGCACGCGTGAGGGGGCAGGGGGTGGGCATGTGTTTCTCGCCACGCATTAGGATACAAAGACTATGCAAGGGGTAAAATCTACAAGAGATAGGTACTTGGGCACAGCGAACTGGGCTTCACCCACCCCTCGCAACCATCCTCGCCGACACGCCTTGTCGGAGTACCACCGCCGGTGCTGCGTCTCCAAGACACACCAACACGGGGTTCAACCAAACCGGCCTCGGACAACCAACGACCAACCAAATCGCCCCCGACCCCGGTAACGCACACCTCTCCTCTGCCGTCACACGCCTCCCCGCCGCCACCGGCGTCCCTCGGGTCACCCCCGTGCCACGTGTCCGTGTGTCGGTAGCCCATCTCGGGGACGTCCTTAAGGCAGATCTCCGTGCAGCTGAACGGGCCGCCGACGTGGCCCACAGAGAAGTCGCCGCTCTGGGTCATGGTCGCACCCGCCGTGGTTTCGGTCTGCCCGTATCTGCAGCAGACACATGGGCAGGAAAAGGGCGCTGTGTGTGTGACTTTGGTCCGGAGATTTTGTGGGAATGAGCCGCGGTTAAGCCGCGAAGGGTTTTAGAGCCCGCCACGAGCGTGCGCCCTGCGTGATGTCGTTGCCCGACCTTCCAGACAAGAGCACCTGCGCCGCGAACAGTTCAACAAAAACACTCCTGTTGCGTACGGCCTCTCAACACCCCACAAACGCACAACCACGCGCACACAATCCTCCCCCCCCCCCCCCCCCCCCCCCCCCCCCCCCCCCCCCCCCCCCCCCCCCCCC